GTGTATTGCAGAATCATTTATTGTTGTTAAGTCACCGGGGAAACATCTACAGAATTTATAGATGCATGCAAATTAGTGAGCTTACTTTTAAGACCTGACTCAAAACCTACCCATAGCCATACTCTTGAGAGAATTCCTGCACTCTTCCAAAACTTATCAGTGAAGTTCAAATTGAGGCAGATATTTGCATTCCTTTTTTAACTCCGAGAATGACTTTAATAATCATGTGAAACTAGTTTGAAGAAACTGCAATGTGTTGTTGCACGTTTTCGTTAAAAATGAATATTCGACCAATTTCCAAATCAGTTAACCTTCACTCAGGACAGGGGGATAGTGATATATAGTATTTCTCGGGGCGGGAGGGGGGAACATCACAATCTACTCCTTGTCACTTATTCTTTTATTTGGACTCAAGAAGCTTCCTGAGTCTTAGGATAAAATGGCTGAAGAAATGACACAACAGATCTTACTGACTCTGCAATTATAAAGTCCCATCCAAATCAGTAGTAATCCAAAGTGTTTTCATGTAACACAACCCTCAGATGATAACCTCAGCACTGTGGCCTAATTCTAATAGCTAATGAACTGGTTTATTTAGTCACTTCCTAATCGCGCTATTTGTAATTTGGCACCTTTATTGAAAGCTGGAAATCCTAATGCCTGGCAGATAAGGAAAAATCTCCTTTGGACAACACAAAAGTTTCCTTTCCCCCCTCTACCATGTCTTTCTTTCTCTACCTCCACTTGTTTTTCCTCTGTTTTCTTCTATTACATTTTTCTCCATAATTCAATAATGAGCAATAAAGAACCTAGCCATTGTGATAATGAATGTGTAATCTGTCAGTGAAACTACTACTTTTATTTATTTATTTTTTGAGACAGAGTCTCACTTTGTTGCCTGGGCTAGATGCCGTGGCGTCAGCCTAACTCACAGCAACCTCAAACTCCTGGGCTCAAGCGATCCTTCTGCCTCAGCCTCCCAAGTAGCTGGGACTACAGGCATGCGCCACCATGCCCAGCTAACTTTTTCTATATATATTTTTAGTTGTCCAGCTAATTTCTTTCTATTTTTAGTAGAGACGGGGTCTTGCTCTTGCTCAGGCTGGTCTTGAACTCCTGAGCTAAAGCAATCCTCCCGCCTCGGCCTCCCAGAGTGCTAGGATTACAGGCGTGAGCCACCACGCCCGGCCTATTGATATATTTTAATTCATTCCTACACCAAAGTTTACAGTTCTTACCATCGCAACAGTAGGTTACATACATTGAACATTATGGAACTCAAGTTCTAGTCTTGTTAATTGAGTCTATTGTGGTATGAAAAATACACTTTCAAACAGAATAAGATGACTTAAAACTACAATACTTACATCCAGCATATTTTAAACAGCACCTCAATTTCTAAGACTGAATTTTATGCCTTTATCATTTAATAAAGCAATTATATTTACATGCATCTGACCCCAGGGAATTATTTACACACAAACACTGCTATATTCTGTTTATATGTTTCATTACCTCCCCAAAGCTGACAAGTCTTTTATTATGGTATGTATTCTGAAGATGAAAAATAAATCACTTCTACCTTTGTATTTTTAAACAGGCTTTTTGGCAATGACAAAAATTAATCTCTTTGCAATAGTTTAAATGGCCTCTCTTATTTAAAACCTCAAACTGTGAAAAATTATGGATATAAGAAAGCTATTTTCTGGGTAGCTGGATCCATCACCTTCAAGGTAACAGTTTAAACAGCTTGATTCATAATAGACATTTTCTAGAAAAACTCACTCTGGGATCATTTTCTTTGTTTACTTCAATATAATCCAGTTTTGAATTTAAGAAAATCAGCAAGGATGCTGTAATCTGTGGTGTTAGCTTTTCTTCAAAAGACATGCAGTCAACCAATGTACTAAGTTGGTAGAAAATAGTAAACAAGAAGGAGGTAATTCACACTAGATAGGCAGTAGCTGAGTAAGCCTAAATACTAATCTTACTACTTACTTTTGCGCTAGGAGAAGGGAATTAAGGGATAAGTTTCCTTTAAAAATGACATGAAATGTTCATTGTGATTTCTTGATAAGCGATGTGTGCTGGCTTTCACCTCCTTATTACCTATTAAAGATTGCTATTATAGCTAAAATCAGTTCAAGAAATAGAATATGAACTCCATTAGGGTAATGTCTATGTGCCATTTATTTTCTAAAACTAACTTCCTAATCCCTATTGCTGGTTGGGCCAAATGCACATTTGTGGGTGCTTAGCCAACATTTATCAAATTAACTATAATCTCCCTGGTCTTTGTTAATAGGTGATACCTATACCTGAAAACCAGAGAGCTGAACAAATTCTACTCACGGCACAACAAAATGACAGTTGTTATAAAATGCCCACTAAAACTACACGATGGTATTATTATTTTTAACTGAAGTTTCTGCACATCCACATAAGAAGAAATCCACATTATAAGGAAGAGTAATCTTTGAACGTATTTAGAATCAGGACATGAAATAAGGGGTTTCTCTAACCCTTATTGCATCCAATGAATATTTATTGCTCTAAATGTTTTAGAAACCATCGTTCACTGAAAGTGAAGAAATATTGTTGCTTTGTGCTTAAAATACATTCTTTCCAATCATAACGATAGACCAAAAATACAATGTGATAAAAATGAAACAGAATGCAGTGATGGAGCACTGAGTGGGACTGGGGAAAATGTTTATTTTGGCAGCTGTTTTCATAGCACAATTCCCCAAAAACAGAACTGAAACTGAAGCTTTAACAAAATGTTCCTCAAATTCTTTTGACTAAGATATACTCATTCATTACCTTCAAGTGCCCAAGGTGCCTGGATTTGGGGCAAGCAAGACTACTTGTTTAGGTACAATTTTATCGAGCAACAAAACTAATATGGTGAGGAATTTTACCGCAGGGCGTATAATGGGTGCTTCCCATGTCTGCAGGATTGCTGACATCACATATTACCATATAGCTGATGTCACTCTGCGCTTTCTTGGGGCTGCTTGCCTCTTGATTTTTTTTTTTTTCCTTACAGCAATCTTTTGAGAAAAGAATAGAGAAGGTTTACCAGGTAGAAAAAAAAAATATGGTTCCCTAGCAAAGTTTCTCAGTCACTTCTTTCTTTCCCTTTTACTTTTCCTTTGTGCTTCTGAAAGCAAAGGCTAAAGCATGTGTTCTAAATTTATTCATTCCTGTACCAGAGAGCATGGTACACATCCCTGAAGTTGAGTCTTCTATTGGTGTATCATGAGTTGAATCCTTAATAAATGATCATGACAAAGAAAATTTCTAATAGCAAATCTCTTTTAGGAAATGCTCAAGTTTTGCCCACATCTTAACGCTTCGTTTTAAAAATCTCGGTTTCTACTGATATGTTTTGGGAAAAAGCTGACAAATTTGGTCTGCAATGTAAAAACTGAAAAAGTGGAAGAGAACACGCAGAATAAGTTAATCATTATCATTTTAAATGCCACCAGTTCTGTTTATATTCATGCACATGTGAATTGCTGAATCTCATTTGATCAACCCAATTAAACATTAAATAATTGCAGCCAATTATGCAAATATCAGCAACAATATTAATTTGTTGATCTTTTTGAGCAGATTAGCTTCACATGTTTCTAATGCTACACTATCTTATGCCTTAAATGATCAATTAGCATGACGATAACTAAGTCTTGAAGAATGGATAATTGCCTAGTTATAATGTGACACTCTTGCTGTATTAATCCACTGCAATTAAACAAACAATGCGCAAAGCGAAAAAAGATGTGCAGATGTTCCTTTTAAATCTATTTAACAAGTCAGTGTCAAGGTCAATTTCCTGTCTTATTACTTAAACGAGAACGGCAGATTGTGTTCTCTGTATTAGAAGACCTCCAGTTTTTAAAAATGTATACCCTTAGTCTTCACTGGGTCTGGCAGAAAGGGCTTAAAATGCTCTTAAGGTTTTATAAAAGAAATTGTACAAATGTTTTCTAACTTTCACAATGGGCATATCTTGCTATACGAAATTTAGAGATGCAAAGTATAAAATATATTTGTGGCAAATAATTTCTATTTCATGGGAATCAAAGTCTAGTTATTATGTGCTCCTTGACAGTTCAAATTACCTGCAAGTCTTTTCTATACTATCATATTAAGAATGAAGTCAAAGGATTTAGCTAGGGCAAAAGCATACCCTTAGCATACTACTTGGTGAACGTGTGCAGGCGACAGTCAAAAGCACCTAAGGCCTGAGAAGAATAGACTCTCTCAAGATTTCAGATCACCAATTAAAAGCCCCCTAAAAGATATTTTTACCATTCTTTTTCATCTTATACTTCTCTAATTTTCATCTTATTATTTCTATCTATATAAGACCCTATGGCTAAAAGTTTTGAAAAAGAATCAAAGCCCATTTGCTATGTGTTGCTAAATGCCTTAAGGAAATTTTTCCAGTGCGTCAAACTTTTAGAATGTTTTTATTCCCCTTGCTCTGCAAAGAGAATAAAATATGATCAGCAAGATGAAAGTTATTAGGACCGAGGGAAACCGAAACACAATGTCTGAGAGTTGACCTTCCAAGGATAAATGTTTTCTATCAAGATTTGACTTTCCCCCAGATAAACCAAGAAGGATACAATTTTAACTCACAGCTCCCAAATAAGGAAATATCCACTATAATTGCTCTCCCTATACTCTATCCACATGCTCATCCAATCCCCCTGTCAAAAGAAAAGAGCACCTACAAAAAGAGTACAAGAACCAGAGTATACATCCTCTTTGCTTCCTACCCCTCCCTTCCAAAAAAAAAGATGATTTCTTTTGCATTTAACACTTAACATATAACATCTGTCATTTCCATTTGGTTGGTATATCATGAACTCTCTCTAGAGCTGTATCTTCAATTCCAAGACAGTGTTCAAATATGAAATGATTCCTCCACCTAATTATACCTCTAATGACTTAGTAGCCTATGGAAAATACAGTATGAGGTAAATATACACCATATCAGAATCAATCACAAATTCTAATAAAGAGGTTTCATAATATAGAAACAAAGAAAGTACACTTCTATAGAAGCTAAATGTTCACCATTCATTACACAAAACATTTACTGAGTACCTACTATGTGCCTGGCATTGGGGGTGCAAAGATCCATAAGGCACAAGACCCCAGTCTTGTGGTAGTCTGACTAACAGCCAATGACGACGCAACGTGGAAAGGGCAGTGGCAGAAACGTGCTCAGGTCTTGCTGAAGCACAAGATGAGCTTGAGCAGGATCTGTGACATCAGGAGGAAGGGAGATCTTAGGATGGGCCTTGGGGCCTGCAAAACACTGTGACAGAGGAACTCTAGTTTTTCAAAGTCTTGATTTAAAAAAAAACACTTTCTGAGGATAAAGATTTATCGTGGGAAATGTTACCTGTGAAATTTACTCAAATCAGCTTTCAAACAAAAAAAATCACATTTGGTAGAATAGCAGAGCAAGGCTTATACTAAAGAATAAACAAATACTTTAACATCTGAGTGAACTCTAGGGGAGGCACTAAAATCACTGAGGAAAATCTATGTTATATGGCTTACGTTAATATTTTTCTAGGAAAGGTAAAAGACTAGTGAGTCTACAAAACACTGTTTGATGATTGCAAGTCATTTTCTCTGGCATGAGGAAACAATCACCCTTGTAACACACTGATAATACAAACTACATTATGCACAACTTCTAACAGGTAGTCAAAGAAATCCACCACCATTCAAATGCAACAGTCTGCCCAAATAGCACACAGTTGGAATCCTGTATTTTCATTCAGGATAATACCATTGTCCAGTCGCTTTCTTCTCTTCCATACTACAACAAAAGCAAGAAAACATGTTTCAGTACAAAAGCTAACAGTGCAGGAATAGCTTACAAACAAACTTAATAATACCACCGAGGTTATACAAAAGGTTCACTTCTGTTTTGAACATAAAAAAATACCTGAAAAGAATCATGAATTTTATAGGTATTGCTGAACTCAAATTCATAGCTGGTGCAGGTCCTTTACATATTTGGGGACATGCTTGTTCATTACCATTTCTCTATTTCACTTCTGCTCTCCAAATGAAGTACCCAAGTTAAATTATTTAACTATTGTTATTTTTACTATAAACAAGTGATGCTCAAAGTGTATTCCCAGACCAGTAGCATCAGCATCACTTGGCAACAAACTGGAAACACAAATTCCCAGGCCCCACCTCAGACTGAATCAGAAACTCTGGGGAGGGGTTCTGGCAACCTGCAATCCAGAAAGCACTTCCAGGTGATTCCGATGTGTGCTAAAGAGCGTTTTATGTTCACGGACAAAAATATTAAATTGACAAGCCCCATCGATAAACAAAGACTTTGTTCTCTAAATCAAAGTTGTTTGTGCTTGGTTAGCATCCCAATTTTTCTTATTCCTTCAAAGGTTATGTAACTGTATCATAATCAAATTCAATTACTGGTATTCGCAAATAATTTGCTTTAAAAGCAAACCTGAATCTTAATATTTAAAATGAGATTAAAAGAAACAAAGATATTCCACACATCCGAAATAGAAAGCTAGCTCTATATTTATTCACTCAATCAGTAAGTCAATCTTTCAACAAACATCCATGTTTAAGTAAGTTTTCACCCTTTAGCAATTACTGCATGCTCACGCTTTTGTGCCAAGAGTTCACGGGTTTATCACCTCATTTAATCCTCATAGTAACCATAGATGACAGGTGCAATTCCATTTTCACATGACCTGGCTCTTTTAGTCCTGATATAACTTTAGTTCAAATTAATATGAAACATCAGAATTTCTGAGTTAAAAAGAACCTTAGTGACCATCTAAAATGTGGGGGATGACCCAAATACACGGGGCTCTGGATTCTACTTCTTTACTTCAGAACAATTCCACTTTTATCCATTTTGCATATTGGAATTCTAGGAAAGATTTCTTTTGAAGAAAGTTCTGCTGCTAAAAAATCAAGTGTAAAGAGCAATGAATTTTAATGTAAGCTTCTTATTTTACATATAAGGATAACTAAGGCTCTAGGTTACTCTTTAATGTTATTTCTCATATATCACATTGTATATGTGCTGTGTTCCTCTGAAAGACCTCAGAGAGCAGAATCTCTCCAATTGGTAAAAATGCTAGGAGCCAAGAATGGGTCTACCTACCACTTTGTGGTTTACATGAAAAGGATAATGAAGGAAACCAAGTGACTATAAGTGACTTGTTTAATCCACTTCTGAAAGAGTTGCCTAAAGAGTGTAGCCTTTCACTATTGACTCAGTTGTACCATGACGAATGCTGGATAAAACATTTTCAGATTCTACCTGCTTTATATATGGTGGCAACATGACTTAAGGTATGAGCAAAACATGTATTTTATTTCTCTTACTTGGATTCCCATTAATATATTAGACACTTTTGCCATTAATAACAATTGAGTGTCAGTGTATTGACATTTTAGCAGGTCTACGGAATTGTGATTCATGACTACTATCACTTCATCTTGAATTTCATCAGTGAAAGTAAATTTGCTTTCAATTAGTTGTTTTAGTTTTATAAATGATCGAAAATCAATTTTGGTTACGCTGACAGTCATAGGCCACATATCACTCTACAAATCTGCATGTTATGTATTAAGTTTTCCCCCTCTCATCCTGCAATTTATGCTTTTATGTAAAATCACAGCATTCTGAGATGTACCCAAGAAATGTGATATTACAAGTAATTCATACTGTCTAGACCTAGGCATTTATTAATTAAATTTTTCATTTGGCTGATGGATAATTCAATTTAATTTTTCAAGGGCAAATAATTCTAAGTAGAGATGGCAGATTTTAGCAGAGATAGAAATTATATTCTTTCCTTAAGAGTAGGTGTCCACAGAAGGAGGGGAAAGACAAAACATGGGCTAGGATGTCACTGTACCATTGTCAGAATCATTACAAAACGGCAGCAGCAGGCTTACACCTTCAACATTTGGTAGGCCTGCCCTAAGGACACTGTCTTAGCCTTGTTCGCTGGAATCAGAGATGGTGCTAAAGCAACGTGGCAAATCGAGTTGAAGCTGTGGGATGGTATTTGGAGCCCATGTGAAAGATTATCCATGTGACGTACTGGATTTTAATCTCTTGCAAATTCCAGTTAGAACACTAAGCCAAAATATGACTAATGACAAGTTCATTACTTCACATTCAGAGTACATATGGCAAATAATTCCGTGTGGCTTTGCTAACTGCCTTTTACATTCAGCAGACAATTACTGGCAAAACAAAAGGACAACCTGTGTGTCACATGCTCTCTTTCTACAATACCGATAAAAACAGTCAGTGCTGCCCACCGGGTAGCATTTGTCATTCCTGTTCTAAACACTATTGAAAAGCTGTGCAAAGTTTTGTAATCCTGTAACATGTGGGGGAGGGTGTGCTGGAAACAAAAGGGGCTGGGAAGCTAATCAAAGGATTGAGTCACACCAGGGCGATCTGGAGACAAAGTTCATGTGCACACAGAGGACAGCTCAGGACATGGGTAGGGAAGGAGGTAGGGCTTTTAACTTTTTATGCAACTAAAAGTCATCGAGCTATTCCACTGAAAACAAGAAAAATGCAATAATCACTAACTTTATGTTTACAAAGCTATAGCCACTAATGAGAAAACAGACTTTTAATCCTATCTGGTGATCCACAAGCAATACAGATACTGCTCCTGTTCCATTCAGGCTGTTCTTTTCCTAAACTGCTTAAGACGTCTACCTCTGGGTCTTTGCAATCACCCCTTCCCACTTCATGAAACCTGAATAGCAGTAATGCTAGTTACTCACACATGCTCCCCTGATACCGAAGACCCAGGCTCCAGCTTTTATCTGATGGAGACAGCAGTCTCAAGGCAGATCTCATTTGGAAAAAAATTTAAATCAGGTTCTCTGAAAAATAATTTGACATTATGCAAGACCTCCCTCCCATCTCTTCTCAGAATGTTATCCACAAGAGCAATACATTACTTGCTCTTTTGTATTTGCTTGGTCTTTCACTTACTCATTCCTTTATTCATTCACTCAAGAAACATGACTGCATGTGTACTATGCCATAGACCCTGGGCTCAACACTGGGGGCATAAAAAGAGAATAAATAATTCTGACATCCAAACAGTCCTAGAAGGAAGACTAGTGTGTGACTAATTATAATGTAATTTAAAAGCCTTATGGGATAATCCCTGTCACTATGAAACTGGAGGAAGCAGCAGCATTTAAGTAGGTGAATATGCCTTTAGACTAGAGGAGAGGGATATTGTTCAAGAGAGATTTAAAAGGTTCCTAAAGGAGATGAGTCATAAAGGATAACCAAGACCTTATCAGGTGAGCAGATTGTAGAAGGTGCCGAAAAGACAGCAGAGCACATTAAGAGTAGAAAGAGGACATCAAATGGCGGAAGGAAAAGTGAGTATGATGTGAGTAACTGGAATAGCAAAGAGTAACAGGAGAGAAAAGAAACACAGACAACATGGCTAATATTCTCCAAGTTCAAGTCTGGTTAAATATAAACACAGACGTGTTTTTCTTTGTTGCTTAAAAAAAGAAAAAGGAAAAAAGAAACTTTTATTGGAAATGTTCCCCTCCTAGGAGGTGTTTATAGAGCAATCTAAGAGCTAGGGAGCTATGTGGATAATTAGCTAAATGGGATGAATGCTTAACCTCAGACATTCTTACTCATATACAAGAAGTTAAAATGAAAGTCAAGTCTGTGGTTAAGAAGGAATGTTCCCCCTGGGCCATACTGGCAAGAATCTTGAGGGTTTTTCTGGTGGTGGTTGTTCCTTTCTTCTTCAATTTACCAGAGCACTTCGTTCCTTGTAACACCAAAAGAAATCAAATGTATAACATGATGCAATTCTATGCTTTTCTTCCTCAATAATTACTTAAATTATTTTTCTTGGAGAGAAACAGACAACCTAGTAGCTTGGCTGACAGCACCAATTTGCCATCTTGTAAGAGAATAATTTTGAGACTTTAGGTTCCAAGTTCACAGGCATAAAGTAATTGAGATGTGCCCTTAGATTCTGAATAAGATGGTCCTTTGTTACTTAACAATCTGTAGCCGATTTGGTGCTTCTGGTTTGTGGTTCAGCATTGCTGTATTTTCTCGCGTCCTGTGATTGTATCATTTTGTTTCTTTGTTCAGTATGGAGCTCTGAATACATCATTACTTTTTTAGTGTTAACTACCATTATATTTTACTACCTGGGATAAAAAGAGAAATTATTAATTTCTTCCTAGCCACAAGAACTAAGTTATATAGATAATATATGAAGTTAGAGGGGAAACTAGTATTTTTTCCTCATACTCTACTTCACATATATCTTTCATTTTTAAACTTTTTCACGTGGTCTCACATTTACACTGAATATTTGTTTTGTCCTTTTATATCAGTGTGCTTCACCTTCTTTAATTTTTTTGTTCCCCTTTTCACTATTAACACATTAACTGCCATGTGAGTTATATTTAACTCACGCTAGTTTTGAGCTGGGGCCTCGTGAAGCATATGTAACTCTTCATCTTGGGAGACTTTAAAACTATCTTTCAAGTTGCATACAGAAAACAATAAAAAATAACATTTTTCATTAAATTAGAAAGGATTATTTTGTTTTCGAAGTTTTTATTCTATTTTCATAATAAAACAATGTGGCCCCAAAGAAAAAATTTTTTTTCCAGTGTGGCAGTCAATGTGTTAAATCACCAGCACCCGGAACAGCCCACACATACTGTTTGCACTCAATACAAACATCTGTTGAATGCATCAATCAAAAACATTTACTTTAGTCACTCACATTCTTGTGGCTTCCATAATCTTACTTTAAAAAATGTTCCTTCTGAGAACATCTTACTCATACTTTCAGGTTCTATAATAATACGTGTATTTTGTCATCTTCTCAATTTTGATGAGTCACATTTCTGATTTTGCCTCCTGGTGTTTCCTCCCATAGTCAATGTTTCATGATCATGTCTCCCGAACACCTCTACTCAGATCTTCCTTCCAATGCCAGTTTAACAGAGCTCGCTTTTTCTCTCGGCATAGTGACTGCTTTTTCCTTCTCTGTTAATCCTTTACAATCAAATCAGCTTAACTTTTCTTATTTCATATAATCTGTAGGAGGTAATTCTGAAATCTCATTTTGTGCATTAACTGCTGCAGAGTGTACAATTTGTTCAAGAAAATTCTGTACAATTTGTTTAAAAAAATTTCCAGAGTAATCTTTCCTTCTTATAACTATGACCACACTTCTCCTCTCAAAAATCTCTAACTTTGTATTTTGGATAAAGGAATTCAAAATCTAGGTAATTAGGTATAGTGTTTGCTCTATTTATGTTCTTTACTTGAACAAAACTGTAAGAATCATCTTCAGATTTACTCAGACAACTCTGAAAAAAATAAACCATCCATGCAGAAATTTTTATTACCTCAAATTATTTTTAACTGTTTCTGTGTACAAAAGTAGAAAACAACTCTGAGTAAATTTTATTTCTTACAATATTAAGATATTCCTTTACCTGCCTTACAGAAAATTCTTATAGAAAACCTTGGTTGAAGGGTGCAAGTATGGCAGCTCATTGCTTCAAAAACCACAAGGTGCTTTCCTTTTAATACTACAAATTTTGCATGAAAGTTGCTGAGAAAGTCTTTTAACTTAAATATCATTTTAATTTAAATGTCATTTTTCTCACTACCCAAGGACCTCAACTGCTCTCCAGAGGGCTGCTGTTTTCCTGACCAACTTTAAATTTTGCTTAGTTTTATGACTCAGTACCATCTGACATCACCCAAGCAATTATTTTAACTTTTCAATGAGTCTCAGCCCACCCTGGATATTTTCACTAACTGGCAATGACGGTATCTGGGCTTAACAAAATCCTCCGACAACTTGTGAAATGCTGCAAATTATAGAACAGTCTTTTCTCTAGGTAGCCCAGTGTTACCTGGTATTTGATTATGCCTGCTTAACTGCCCGATGAGATATTAGTGTAGGTTGCCACTCAGAAAAAATAGGTGTCCCCAGTAATTACTATCCCACAGCTTTATTCTAAGGAAAAAGTCAAGAATGTTCTGTTCATAATAGAAAAAAATCGCCAAAAGAAGTTGTTCAATAATGCGATTTCTTTTAAAAATTATGGTACATCGATAGAATGGAATTCAATTAAACTATAAATGGTATTGAGAAAACTATTTATTGACATGAAAAAGCAAAGGGTTTATTAAATGAAAAAAGCAGGTAACAAAATTATATATAATATGACCCCATTGTTTAAAAAAAGACCTATCTAAAAGTATATAAATGGTTATAGAATACTGAAAGTTAAGACATCAAAAATTAAGAGTAGTTATATCTGTGTTGGAATCATGAGTAATGTAGTTTTCTTCTGTGGTTTCTTCTACTTTCACATTTTTCTTTTTTTTAATTAAGAGTATGTAATACTTTTTAATGATATTTTTAAATATTGTCAAAATTTATATATTTTAAATGTTAAGTAATTTGGAGTTCCTGACAATATTCTCCTTTTTTTAAACACATACCTTCTTTCCCACATCTGATTTGCTCACGCCCACATATACTATCGGGAGTATCTTCCTTAAATTTAACTTATTGATCTCAAATTGTAATATTTACTCACTTCTCTCCATTGAAGTATGATTTTATTGTAAGCTCCCAGTGAAATAAGGTGACATTTTAAAAAGAAAGAAGCTCTTACCTGGATATCAGTCAATTTGCTCAAGATACGACGTGCGAGCTTAGGACCATTCTCCATAGTTGGAATATGTATTGGCTATAAAAGAAAGGGAAATGTGATAATTTGAGGATATTCAGTTATATAGCGATAACAGGTAAGACACTTGGCAACTCTACTATATTAAGGCAATTCCACTGAAATAAGGAATAGCGCTATAACCTACTAATTATGCATGCTAGTTCCCTATGCCAAAGACTCTTTTTCTATTCTGAATTGGAATAAAAACAAACTAGCCAATGATAGGATGTTCACTGCATACCAACTAATTTTCGGGCACAATTGGTTTATTTGCCAATCTTCAGGCTGATTTGAGGAACCAAGGAGAAGCTAGGGGTACCCAAAATAGTGGCTAAACTTAAAGAACCCTACCTCTTCAAGATTCTGTAAGGAGAAATGACTGCCCTCTGCATCTAACCCTCTGGCAAGGAATGAGAACTCAAAGATATTATGCCACAAATTAATGCAAGCCATTTCGGAAGCATAAATTAAAGCAAGTCTATGCCTCCCCAAATGGGCTTCTACTCCTGTCTCTGGTCCACACTGAACCTCTGGGAGCCACAAACTTCACAATATTGGATAGCATGATTAAAATTCATGACTAAAAAAGATTTCACGCCCCTAATCTGTATCTGAATCATGCTTATTCATGACTCGCTGGCTTGCAGGCTTTTGACAGTTTGATTTTAGTGGATAGTCTGTGCTCTCAAACACTCTTCCTAGTGTAATGGAGAATTAGAAGTACCTTGTGGCTCTAAATGCTCTTTAACAGGACCACTTAAAATATGTTAAACTTTATAAACTTATTTCTAGAGGTAAAATAATAATTGGACTTAAAAAAAACTGACCTAATGACAACTTCAGTTCATAAAGTAGACAAGTCACATTACCTTGATACTACCATAATAAAATACTAAACAGTAGCTTTAATCAGTGTAAGTGGTGATATCAAACTGAATAATTTTCCCATGAGACAATCAATCTGTAGATGGAATTATGTTAAAAGCCATCCCTTAAAACCTCAAGCAATGAAGCTGCTACTATTAAAGTAAGATCAGCTGAGGAAAAAGAACTGTGATCTAAAATGTAAAAACCAGTAGCATCTATATTTATAGTTGACACTGAACAACATGGGTTTGAACTGCACTGGTCCACTTATGCCTGGATTTTCTTCCGCCTGACAACCCTAAAACGGCAAGGCCAACCCCTTCTCCTCCTCTCAGGCTGCTCAACACGAAGAACAACCAGGATGAGGACCTTCATGATGATCCACTTCCATGTAACTAATAGTAAATATATTTTCTCTTCTCTATGATTTTCCTAACAGCTTACTTTATATTTATAGTATATAAATACCTAACATACAAAATACATGTTAATTGATTATTTATATTATTGATAAGGCTTCTGGTCAATGGTAGGCTATGAATAGTTAAGGTTTAAAGGAGTCAAAAGTTATATGTGGATTTTCCACTGCATGGGAAGTTGGCGCCCCTAATCCCTGTGTTGCTCAGCGATCAACCGTAGTATGAGTAATTTAAGCCAATTCACATTATAATGCCCACATGCCTTTAAGTTATAAAGTTAGATGCTGATGTTAATCATAAGTATTGGAGCTTTGTTATAAAGAGGAAGGCAAAAAAAAATTGACAAGAAAATGGAAGTATGGCACATATAAAATCAGACTAAATGATAAAGAGGAAAACATTTCTTTCAACTAAATCCTTGAATTCCTTTTCTAAGATTTTAGGAAATGCGCCAGGTTTGCCAAATGAAAAATTTTTATGAAGTGGTCTACTGATTAATAATAAAAACAGTAACAATAATAAATGAAGGCATTGACCATTCAAATGCATTTTCCATAACTATCTGCCATTTCTAATCCAGTAGCTTGGAAGTACTGTTGGAAACCAGAAACCAAAATCCAACTACCTGTAGATCCTTCCTTAGTGAGCTGGTAGTTAGAAAGTGATCAGAGTGGAAGCCTAGACAGCTTCAATCCCCGCACTGAGGTAAGGCAGATGTGACACCCGTCCAAGGACGCAACTGACTTCCTACCATGTGTGAGCTTACACGAAATCACTGGAAAGATGGTAGTAGTAACGTGAGAATACAGGTTCATCTGGACAAACTATCCTAGTTAATGTAATGCCAAATTATAAAAACAAAAACAAAACACTCTTTCATCCTGGGTCCAACTGGAATTTCATTTGCACATTTAAAGAAATTAATGAAATTATAGTCAAATGTTTGGAAATGGCAGGAAGTGAAGAAATACTTGTCTTACCTCACCCTTGTACAGTATATCAGAAACTGGGCAGACAACACAGGCTGTACCAGAGCCAAACATCTCCCTCACTCTGTTTTCCTCCAAGGCAGTTGTCAAGTCATCCATGGTGAGGTATCTCTCGGACACCTTAAATTCACCCTGATTGGAATATAAAAAATAAAAATAAATGTATTTTAAAGGGAAATGCATATAAAACAACTGTAATACCTATCTTTCTACTTTATAGGCCAGGCGTGGTGGCTCACGCCTGTAATCCTAGCACTCTGGGAGGCTGAGGCGGGACAATCGCTTGAGGTCAGGAGTTTGAGACCAGCCTGAGCAAGAGCGAGACGCTGTCTCTACTAAAAATAGAAAAAAAATTAGTCCGTCAACTAAAAATAGAAACAAAAATTTAGCCGGGCGTGGTAGCTTGCTCCTGTAGTCCCAGCTACTCGGGAGGCTGAGGCAGGAGGATCACTTGAGCCCAGAAGTTTGAGGTTGCTGTGAGCTATGATGACGCCACGGCACACTCTAGCCAAAAAAATAATAATAATAAAAATTTTAAAAAGTACTTTATATTCGATTAAACTCGGATAATGTCACAATCATCCTTTGAGGGAAAGCTAGAAAGGGCACGCCATCTTATTGGGTGAACACACTGAGGTATGAAGCAACCCACTTCAAGGTCACAGCCTTTATGAATGTGATTATGGGAATATAAAACCATCACCACAAGATACATGGTGTATTTTCATATATGCCTGCTTTTTTTGCCTTTTATTTGTTGTCACGAATAAAGTCTCATAAACTGAAGCATCCCAAATGCTACCTGATACATGCTCCACATTTACAGTGTCTTAAACCCTATTTTATCATAAAGGGGACTCATACATTGCATTAAATAATAATTATAGCTACCATTTATCATGCACCCATTATTATGCCAAGTTCTATAATCCCAAAAGTAGGTATTATTATCCCCATTTTACAGATGAGGAAACTAAGGTGCAAGATGAGGGGCATCCCCAAGGCCACATAGCTAGTAAATGGCAGAAACTGGATTGAACCCAGGTTGACATGAGTGGCTCCAAATTTGGTCCTCTTTCTACTGTGTCTTTTATGGAATAAAAAATATAGATTGAGTTCAAATATCTGAAATACTCATTATTTTTAAAAATAGAATGCATATTTGGACTTTACTTGAGAAATTACATTATATATATTTTTTCTTCCTAAATTCACTGATGGTTGACTTTACAGTGATGATTCTCTTCCTTCTCTTTTAGCATCATATTCAGTTGAGTTTCACCAAGGAATTAGTGGTATAACCTCATTTACCTCTGCTGAATTGTCTGAGTACCTTCTTTGCTCAAGGATAGGAAATGGAAAAAATCCTCATGCTTTTAAGCTATCTGTTTAATACTCATTCTTTAATTTGTTTAATTCTCATTTTTTTACTTTAGTCATTAAAGTTTGTCAAAGTGTGGTTATCTGAATTAAAAGCAACAATAGATGAGTTTTTTAAAAAAAATAAGTTGAGAGTATTTTCTTTAATTTACAAACCCACAATAGATAAAAATGGAAATTAAAGCCCTTGACGATTTTCAAAATACTAGAAGAAGAATGTATCATGCTGTAAATAGATTTGGAAGGATAGGAAAGTATGTCTGCAATAGAAATATGGCTGTTTGCAAGTTTCAATTTCTCTCAGTCTGCAATTGCAATTATGTTGTTCAAAGGTAAATAAATAAATTCCAGAAAATCAGCCAGGTTAATTGAAAACAAACTGAGTTCTGTGTCTTAGAGAAGGAAAAAAACACAAAAACAAAAAAAGGCTCCACACCTCTCTTGTAAATAAACAGAATTGCTTTTAGTCTGTTCACCCTCACTTATCTTTGGACAATTTCCCCTGCCTGGCAAGTAGTGGTAACCCCCCACACGCCTCTTGGCATTTTATGTCTCATGTTTTAAAATAGCTCTTAAAATAAATTACAGCTAAGGAGTCAAGAAAAAACTTCCTCCAATAATAACCTATTTTTCGTGCAAGCAAATCATTAGTGTGGGAAAGCATTTCCACTTGCAACTTGTCATCGAACCTTCTGTACTTGGTCGATTTTTTTCTTTAATAAAACAAAAATTACTGAGCTTCAAAAATGTATCTTTCCAACTGCAAACATATTTAGGACAGGGCAAGCTGTTTGAAATTGTACCAACAGTTTGTAAATGTCATGCCCAACGTGCCAGCCAGCATGTGGCAGTTGGGTCTTGTCTACTTCAGGGTTTTGTAGAATTATTTATAGAACATTTCCTCTATTTTCAAAACCTTTTCCAGAGAAACTGTGCTAGTACTCTTCTAGATGATATGTGTGTTTCTAAACATTTGTCCTATTAGTACTGTTTGACCACAGTATGCTCAAAACCTTTTCATGTTCTTTGGAGACCATTTTAACACATGGGTCAAAAGTTCCATCCAAGAACCCTTGCCAGACAACCAACTCACTCAATATTCGTCTTGAATATGTTATGTTATTTCCAATACCAAATAGTTTAATAGGCTTGCCTGTATCACATGGATTTGAAAGTCTACTGAAAACAACTTTACATTGGCTTGAGTGTTCTGATTTTAAAATAAGCATGTATATGAATTTCAGAGGACAAGGGGCAGGGAGGGAGGGAGAAAGAAGGCAGCCAAACCAATAATATTATGTTAGTAAACATTTATATGTCAGTGCAATTCTTTAATTTCTATGGCAAGCATGGTTACACTGGAATAAATAGAGAAAAGGAAGAAGTACGTATCACTGCCATTTGGAAACAATACACAAAGACTTTTTGAAAAGTTAAGGACTGGCTGGATAGAAGCAAAGTATGAACTAGGTAAGTTGGTAGGAGATACCTGGCAGATGGAGACTAGTATTAGAATCCTTCTCCCCTACAACATCTTGCTAAACTGGTTTCTTTCTGCCCTGCCTATAAAAAATACTTTTGATAGCTTTGCCAAGACAGTCCTTCTAGAACTTGGATTTAAAGATTAGATAACACTGGCTGGAACCACAGGATATTATTTCAACACTAGGCTGGGCTTATTTTGACTACTTTTTGTTTCAGGCTTATAAAAGTTGCTCGTGTCAAGAGTACCCACCCACTTGCGCGCCAGGTCCAGAATGCACCGCCTTGTCACTCCTGGAAGAATGATGCCATCTAGCGGAGGAGTTGCCAGTTCTTCTTCTGTCAATCAGAAGTTGGACTATTTTCAGCCTTTAACTATATCGAGCATGCCTTGTATCAACAGCCTTCTAACAAACATTTCTCACAACTTTGCTGTAATAAACATAATGTTACCGTTCTACATTGTCGAATTTCCCAAATCTCCCAAATCCATTCATACTTCAGGTAGATGCTTACTTTAAACAACAAGAAAAAAGAAAGGAAGCTGCTCATCTAATCATCTCCAGTTTACCCTTAACCAGTAAAATAACGAGATGGTTTTTCACTAACGAACAGTAAGAGTCATAGAATACTCTTAAGAGAAACATTCTGAAATGAAAATTTGCCTTAGCAGATAAAAGCTGTTGGTGATTAAAACAATGTAGACAGGATCGTACTCGGGAACATGGTTCATTATCAAAACTTCTAAGAACACTGTGGAGGAGCCTGTCCCCCGAGAAGCATGCGTGACTACTACTTGGGCTGGTGGCTGCTTCGGTGAGGCCCTTTAGTGGTTTGTAAACCTGGTAGAGTATCGGCATCAAGTACTGAGATGCTGACTTCACCCTCTGAGAGTCAAATGTAATGGGCTCAGGGTAAACTCAAGCGTGTATATAGCTAAAAAAGACAAAAAAGAATCTAAAAAACAAAAGTCCAAGGCTGAGCTACTGGTCTACTGTGAGATGACCGCAGGCACCCCTAACCACTAGGAGGGCTGGCGTGATGATCAGTCTACAGGCATCATGTGTGGTCCGCCTGCTGCACAGGCTCTGCTTACAGTGCTCACTGGTACTCAACCACTCCTTTTCCTCCCCACCTCTGGCAGCCAGGAGTCGGAATCCAGTGAGTCCCTGCACTGAGGCCACTGCCTCTTCTCTCGGTACACAGTGGCTCTAGACTTACCTACCCGCTTTGCTGCGGTCGTATTACATGTGCCCAACAACCAAGCTCTGTCTGGAAGACCAAAGCTCCACATTCATCCCTGTATCCCCAAAACTCAGCATCATGCCTGCCCTAGAGTGGTTTGTAATAAATATTTTTGAATAAAAAATAAATGAATTAATCCTCTTTACTAGGATACAGCAGCATGGTTTTTTTGGAATTCTGTTTCTGAAAATCATCTGCTGAAAACTGCTTCCTGGAAAGAAGAAAATTTGTTCTTGGCAGTGTTCTTAGGGCTACTTTTTGTCATGTTTAGAAGTGTTGATGATCTCAAAATAAACATGTGTTTTGCAATAGCTAACTAGATACATAAATGTATGGATCGAGTTGTGTGTGTGTGTGTATGTGTATATACACACACAAACATACAATTCCAGTGCCCTAAAACCGGACCTATCCTAAAGCTTACTGAGCTCTAAGACCACATAAAGTTAAATGAAAACAGCAGCCCTGCATGTGCGAATGCTGTTTTGTGAGATATATTTAACACCCAGAACTGTAACCACTAGCCTGAGGTCAAGGAACAGAACATCTGCTTCTCTGGTTGCCAGACAGAGATGATGACATGACAACATTTGGGTGAGAAATATTCATTTTCCTCTGCAACCACAAACATGCTTACAAGAGCCAGAACTAACTCCAGATTGCCCAACGTGAGGAAAACAGACCCTACAAATGCAGCTTGTTTTTGACAGAGAAAACATTTTTAGGAGATGAGGAATTTAGAAGCAATAACAGCAGGATTCATCTGTGACTTCCCAAAGTCAAGCGCTAATGGAAACCAGGAATGTAGGTTTGCATAAATGCCCTCCGCACAATTACTCATTTATTCAAAAAAATACATATCAAGTGCTGTTTACTGTTTTAAGCTCTATAAATACAGCAGTGAATGAAACTGATATGACTCCCTGATTACTTTCTAATAGGCAGAGGCAGACAATGACTGTGTTAAATAAATAGTATGACAGACTACGGAGGAGGAAAAAAAAGAAGGGTGGGCAATGCTGGGGAGGAATGGGGGAGGGAGTTTATGATTTGATTAGGGGCTCAAGGAGAGCCATACTGAGAATGGGACTTGTGAGCAAAGACTTGGAGAACGTGGAAGAGCAAAGCGTGCTCCGAGTGGAGTCGGTATCAACGCCCAATGTGTCCGAGAAGGCTCGTGGGGCTGGGTGGACTGAACAACACTGACACTCACTGCCATGGTCGTTCTCCCAAACTGACTGTGAACGCAACTGCAAGGACTGGGTCCTATTTTGTGAGAGTATCTCCAGTGTCCAGGACACAATACAATTCTTTGTTCAAACAGTGAATAGCAAGTGTATGTATTAAATGACTCATCCACAGAGTGAAAAAGAGAATCGACCACCATGGGTGTGTTACTAGAATCAAAATTCCCATGAGTTACGGGCCAAGTGTCACACACAGTGACTGTGCACAGAACTGTGCTCTGAACACACACTCCCTGCTGCTTCATCTACCTGCCTGCGCTGGCCACCTGCCCGACGGGAGCAATGTGTGCGGGCGCCCACGGAGAGACGGTAGGTGATTACTGAAAGAACTCTGCTTATGCCTCCCATCAGTAAAGTTTGTGAAAAATAAATATTTTGCTACTTTCCAACTCATTACTCTTTGTATTTTCCTAAAGGCACAGGGTATAAATCAAAATTACTACAGAGTTGCTTCAAGGTCTTTTTTTTTTTAGCATAAAGGTTATCCCTCATATTCTGTTTACTTCTCTCATAACACTATTCAAACGTTTATTCCATTTCCTTTCTCCTTATTTCAAATCGTATTTGATCTGTTAGGTGCACACCCCCAAATTGAAGGGGCACATTAAAACTAAAGTTATCTTGGGCAACCATAATCTGCATAGTAACTCTTAAGGTCTTGCATATTTTGCAAGAGGCAGAGAAGACAAATTCATTCATTTCCATTTTGACCTTTAAAAGCTACGGTGGAAATGTTCCGTGATTACTGTTTGGATAAGGGACAAATTTTCACCAGGACAGTTTCTGGTGTTTCTAACTAACTCATGTAGCTCTGATTCAGACTGTGCTTAAAATCCTGTCATCTTCCATCCATAAAAATAATGATGGGACTACTTCTGAGTGATGTAATTGTTTTTGTTTGGGGCTGTGTGGGCTTTTTGGCGGGAGTTTGGAGGTGGGGGTAGGAGTGGGCAGGTGGGAAGAAGAGTTTAACCAATCTATTATCTTCTAAGTGCAAAGTTCAAATTAGCTCTCATCTGTTGGCCATGGCTTTTATTATGTCATATGTAATAGCCCAAATTTAGAAATCACAAATATTCCAGTATAAATTTTGTTTTCAAATAGTGCTAAGTACAAACAGCAGGAATGGAAGAATGAGCATGATCTACATCTGGCTTTTCATATGCCAGTGATCACCAATGGCCAAACTCAGGACAAGGTGTACTCACCACACCTTCTGTTTATTCTGCCCCTAACTGGAATATAAGGCTCGTCTTGTTAGTCTCTGCAACTAATACTAAAATTAGCACATAGCTCTGAATTCAGCCACATCTGAATCACCATTTTCCTCTCTCTGTAGCCAAATAACATAACAACAACAGCAGCTACTGTAGCTGCTTTAAAATAAAATTTTCACTTAAAAAAAATTGAATCGAAACTAAATACTGAGACTTCCCAAGTATTTGAAAACATTATTGTATATTTCTAGTCTCTATACTCAGTACTCTAAAAAGAAGAACCTAAGAGCATAAACAAACCTAAAAGTACATTTCTAAATTTGGCATGAGTATCAAAATTCTAATGGAAAATAATAATACATATCTGTTTTGCCCCCACTACTGGCCATTTAATTCAATAACATACACATTTTCAATACTTCACTGCATCTGCCAACTAATAAACGTAAGAATAGCAAAGAAAGGTAATGAGGATTCAGGATATTAGAGGTAGTAGGGAAGTACTGATTTCTACAGTGGATATACAGTAATAGTCTTGAATGAATCAGGATCTAGGTGTAATCCCAAGATATGGTCATTTCTTTAAAATGGTGTTCTGTAATAAAATTGAGTTCCAGAGTCAATCTGGAGGGCTTCTGATATGCTACCAAAATATAGACAAAGGGCAACAATTGCTAAAAGAATTATAGCAAGAAAGTACACTAAATTCCTTATCAGTAGAATCAGTAGATGGCATTTATTACTACAGAATTTTATACACAGTTTTTGGTGAATGACCATGGAATGGATCTGAGACCTATCTCCCAATGCCAGGTGTTCAGACAGGAACGTTAGGAAACTGCTAAAGGGATAAAGCAGCAAATCTTCCAAACGTGATGACTTAAATCCCTTAATTTGACATCTCAGTAATTAGTACATCTAGAGCCAAAAACAACAAAGACAGAACCCTCATAGCTTCTTTAAGCTGCAACTCATGTCTACTTAGCAAAAGCACAGTAGTCCTCAGCCTTCAGAATTGTGCTACTTACCCCTCCCTTGCTCTAGGTTTCTAGTTCTTATCCTTCCTGTCCCACTGAAAAGGATTGAGAAACAGCACAGAGCTGAAATCTCAGTGATTACCTCCATCTTCGTTTATCCAGTAAAGAAAAAGATTCATACTCCCAACTTCAGTTAGCTGATTATCCTCTCCATAGAGCCACAGAACCTGCTGGCACCCGTTGTCTACTGCTTCACATTGGGAAAAAAGCGATGAGCCGTAATTCCTTTTAAGAAAGAGGAAACACACTGATTAGTAACATACTTCATCCCCATGCCCCACCTTCTACACTCTCACAGCCTAGAGCCTACATGCAGATGGACTCAACCTAGCAAGCTCTTAAGCTACACACACTCTCTAGTTAACTGCATGACACTAAAGGAAAACTCCTTAGAGAACCTAAACGATTTAACTGTATTCATCTGAGAGAGAACAAAGGGAAGCCTTGCAATCCCAACTAGAAAAGCGGCGACAGGAGAACACAGGTACGTAGCCAAGTTAGTGAGAACAGTTAAGAGTTACTGAATACTTTTCCACACACCAAGCAATTTTACATGAATTGTTTCTTTTAAACCTCACACCAATACCATGAGGTAGGCACCATCATTATTCCCATTGTCCACATAAGACACTGAGGTTTAGAGAAGTAACTGCTATCAAGTTACAGCAATTTAACACATTGACTGCCACACAAAAAAAATCAGCAACTTTTCCTTGGTGCCACACTGTTTAATTACGAAAATAGAATAAAAAAACTTTGAGTGTAATTTGAAGATAAACGTACATAGAAGAACAAAATTTACTGAGTTCTACTCATTTAATCCACCTTTTCAGAATTAAATTGTCAGTATTGATTGTAACAATAAGAACATCAACAAGATTTTATATACGCTTCACGTAGCCCCGGGGTCAAACCTGGAGTGAGTTAAATACAGCTCTCATGGCAGTTAATGTGTTAAATAGAAGAGCACCACATCCGTGCTCCATTATCCAAGGCCTTCTATTATAATGATGCCCAATGTCTAAATTTCCCCCCCAAAGGTAGGATAAATGCTAAAAATCCTGATTTTCACCAAAAAGTATTTCAGAATTTCACCTTTCTCTGCCTGTGCTATTCATCCCAGGTTATTCACAATGAAAGGGACACAGCACATCTTCCTGGAATGATAATTTAGCTTAGTAGTATTTTTAATTTATTATCTTTTATTTAAACTTATAGGGGATAATTATGGAGTATAATAGCACTATCAAAAACCATAGTGAAATCTTACAGTATGAATGTCTAGCCTTTCAAAGAAGCTTCTAAAGACAAACACATACACACTTTTGAGAGTGTGCCTGCGTTGAAACCATGGTTCCTCAGAGTCAATGACACACCTGGGCGGGGAAAGAGAATTAAAGACCTCAACTCTTTCAACGCATTGAAAACAAAAGGGCTTTTTATGTTTCGTGTTTAATTGATTGATTTATATATCATCATATGCTATAGATGTTATTCTGCCAACCAAATTTTCTCACAGTTATAAACTGTATTATTAATTGTCCACTGGATAACCGATACCATGGTCAATGGTTGGGTTCCCTCCCACGTGCTGCCAATATTCAGAAGAAATGTTCTTGGAGGAAAGAAAGAAAATGAGAAAGTGGGAAAACTGCCTACACAGGAAAATTTCAATATAGTTTTACATAGAATAAATAGCTGGGAGAATAGAGATATTAAATACCTCCCTCCAAAAGAGTAGGTTCTATTATGTAAAATCCAAATTTCTTCTAAGATAAAGAGAGTCCAGGACATGAAATAAGAAAGTGAGAAACGCTCATAGTATCAACTACTATTTAAGAGTCCCTAATCTGAAAATCGAAATCTGAAATGCTTCAGAATCTGAAACTTTTTGAATGCCAACATGCCGCTCAAAGGAAATGCTCATTGGAACATTTCAGAGTTTGAATTTTCAGATTAGGGATGCTCAACTGGAAATATTCCCCAAAAAAATCCAAAATCCAAAATGCTTCTGGTCCCAAGCATTTCACGTAAGGGATATTTCACTTGTACCTGCCAGGAAGTACTTAACCACATTATTTCATTGAACCACCTTAAAACAACACTAGGCTTTATTATACTTTTGAAGAGAGGATGCAACTGTATATAATCACACAGACAGTAAATGTGTGACTCCCAGATATCTCTGATGCCCAAGCTCAAGCTTTTAACCACTAGGTTGTAAGAGTGGATTTGCTGAGAGCTTTGTACAGGCCAAACACTGTCCTAAGCACTTTATATCACCTCATTTAACCTGCACAAGTAGGTATTACTGCCTTGATTTTATAAATGAGGAAACTGATACTTAGTTAAGTAACATGCCCAAGGTAATTAGGTTTGTTTGTTTGATTTAAAGACTTTAATATTTTTTAGAGCAGTTTTAGGTTGACAGCAAAATTGAGAGGAGGGTATGGGAGATTTCCCACACACCCCTGGCCCCCACACATGCACAGCCTCCCCGATTACCAACGCCCCGCACCAGAGCGGCCCATCTGCTGTAACTGATGAACCTGCACTGACACATCACCGTCACCTGAAGTCCACTGTTTGCAACACGATTCACTCCTGGTACTGTGCATTGTTTGAGTTGGGACAAATGTATAATGACTTGCATCCACCACTGTGGCAGTTAGATTTTTAAGCCGGGTCTTTCTGACTTCAATGCCTGCACTCTTACAGCATGAGAGTGCAAGGAAAAAAGAAAAAAACTAACAGAGAAAGATAATTGTGTGTGTGTGAGAGAGAGAGAGAGAGCGCGCACTCGTGAGCACCCGATTCATTCCAAATTAACTAAGAAGGTTCCCGGGACTACAGATGTCCCTGTGATGAAAGACCTTCCTCTAGCTCAGTGCTTCTCCAGCTTGGTTTCATGTTAAGGATCCTGATGCTCAGTCTATGGCCCAGACAAAATAAACCAGGGTCTCTGGAGGTGGGAACCAGGCATCAGGGTTTGTTGATGCTCCCAGGTGATCTCAGTTTGGAACCAAAGTGAGGCCCGTTGTGCTAGAACTCTCCTTCAGCTGTGCACAATTATATTACTTTTCTCACATATATTTAGAAATAAGACAATAATGTTATCTCCACTGGCTTGAAAATAGTAGAATAATCTTAGAAGTTTTTTTTTTTTTTTTTCAAAAAAAAGCTTCTCTCCCTTCCTCAGATTCATTGAGTGTGCAGAAAGTTCTTGAGCTTATGAGAATCAAGCTATTTAATAGCACCAATTGACTACAGGGGCCCTAAAAATTGATCAAAGGATAATTGTTGACTCAATTAGGTTTAGAGAAGACATAATAATATACAATTCTAAAGTCCAAATGTGTTTGCTAACTAAATAGGATGATATTATATGCAGAATCATTGGTTCTCCTTTCACTTCTCCAGGTTGGAAGCATAGGAGTAGAGAGAGCTTTAGAACTTCTTGGAACTATAGGCATATAGGTTAAAAGTCCACCCTTTCGGTTACTGCCTTTCCCCTTGCAATCTTCATTTTAATTTATGAACTCCAATATGCTCTTCTCAAGTTTCTTCCTCTCCTGAGAGATTTCCAGTCAACTACCAATGCATGGTCCACCTGGGCCTAATGAGTCAAAGAATTAATTTTTTTTATAATCATTCTATTTTTTATAGTACTTCTAGATGCACAGAAAAATTGAGCCAAAAGTACAGAGAGTTCCCATATTATACCCCTTCTTGACTCCCCTCCCAGTTTCTCCTATTATTATCATCTCGCGTTACTGTGGCACATAAGTCTATAGTTTTAGGGTTCAATCTGTGCTGTACAGAAAGCATTAATTTTTAACTGGACTACAGTGATCATGTAGTCTGTGATACTGGATCGTATCATCATTTACACAATAAATTACAACCTACCAAAATAGCAATTAATAAGGAAGGATTTCCTTGCAATTTCTGTGTCCTGTGTTATCTTCTCCATAGACAGGTAGGGGGAGCTAGAAAGCAAGATTTAAAAGGGGAAAACTTTTTCCTTATTACTTTTCATCAAGATTGTTAACTTACTGTAATGTGCACCCTAAGAGAAGTTTTAACAAAGTAGTATATATGGTATGCAGTGGTGCATATGCTTGGTGAAGAAGTCTGAACAAGTGAAAAAAAGAAAGCAAGAGATTAAACAAAAGGACTTTTCAACCCGGCTAGCGCAGGATAAAGGAAGGAGTGCTCTAAGCCAGGAGGAAAATAGACTTCCTAATTTAGTGGACCCCGTTAGAATTTCTCTACTCATTGAGAAAATGCAGTTGCTAAAGCTGCCTACAGGGATGAATTTTATAACTTTTTTTTTTTTTAGTAAGAGATGGAGTTGCTATATTGCCCAGGTTGGACTCAAACTCCTGGGGTAAAGGGATCCTCCTGCCCCAGCCTCCGGAGTGGCTGGGACTACACTCATATGCCACTGCGCCTGGCTACCATTCTTTTTTCTTTTCGGGGTGGGGAGGAAATATAGGACGACTGGGCAAAGCCAGCTGTCACTGTCTCTTTACTATCCCAGCAGCATGTCCTTCGATTCCCCCTACTTCTTGAATCTACATGTTGCACCAGGGCCCACAAGTTTGTCACTGAGCCACTGCCCAGAACCGTGGCTGCCCTGGGTATGCGATGCACAGCACCACTTGACACAAACAAAGGAAGAACCCATGCTGCTTAATCCAGTTATCCTTGTTCCCCCATAGGGGCATTCCCAATTCATGGCCAAGTCCACCCCTGAAATTGTCCAACATTTTTCAAATGCTCTTTTATTTCCTGCCAGCTACATATGGCCTATGAGACCAGCCTGACAGAGCCAAAGCAGGGCTGTCCCTTGGCCAGTTGGCAGCAGGTGTGGCTACAATCTGTGGCAATGAAGACAGCACGTCAATGAAGCGGGCACCTTCCCCAGACAGGACTCCCTGGAGCCAACCGAGAGCCTGGGTCCCAGGACCAGATGCTCTTTAATGACAACCACCAGCCTGCAGCCAGAGGACCAGTGCCCGGGGGCAGATCATTTCAAAGCACTAATTTGATTCCTATTTTAGTTGCTCACTTTAGTTCTTGCCTATATATCACATCTAATATTTCTCCCTTAGGAAGGACCACAGGCTATCCTTTAAACAACTAACACATTTAAAAGTGACAACTAAACATGAAATAAAATGGGCATTAAAGTGTGAATATTATTTATTTGTATTGAAGTGAAATGGCAGCAACAAAATGGTCATGAAGGGCTCTTCCCTTTAGACAGGGACACAGATTTACTTACCCTCCCACCTTGCAGTCTCCAGTTCCACCTTTCCAGGCTCTTACATACTTTGGATTGGCCCACAGGGACACTGGATTAAAGGTTCCACTTGAAAAATAAGGTCCCACTGGGCTCAGGATTACAAAGAGCAGGGCTTTGTTAGGCTTCTTGACTCCAAGAGAAGGCTGCAATCAAGTAGAAGCACACGACTGTAATTTCACATATGGGCACCAACCCCAAAGTCCAGAATAGATCTGACTAATGACAGGAGCTATTACTTCTAAAGTTGCGTTACACAAAGCCTGATGTGTTCTAAGGACAAAATACCGAGAATGGAGTACTTAATCTTCATTTAGCTTTGCTTTCTGAGTTATGATTTTAGAGGAAAAGCAAATTTGTCAATTTTTTTGCGTTAGTAGGATTTTGGAGGAGAAGCATATTTTTAACAACTAGCTATGTAACACCTTTCAAGTTTTCATGGATTGGGAATTGAAAACTCAGATGTGGTTTTAGTCTTGGGGGTAAAATATATTTGCTTCAGTAACATGCCCTTCTTTTTCACAGCCTAGAGACTGCTTCACGACATGGCAGAGCCTCCAGCAGGTGGCAGGGGCAGGGAGTGTGCTATTACCACACCTGCCCACAGCAGGTAGCAAGAGTGTGGCTCCACTAGAGGGAAAGAAACCAGACAGGATAAATGCCATCAAAAGGGCAGGGGATGAATGACTCAGAAACAGCAAAGACAAAAGGCAGCCTTTCCCACAAACACTGGAAAGTAAGAAGCCAACAATGCAAAACCATCCAAATTCCTCCAGCACAAAAGCAAGTTATAAGCAATGAAGGGGCCACTGTTTATTAAGGAAGAAAACTGAGAGACTCAAAGTTTTGAGGGTATTTTAAAGGCAAAAAAGGTCACTGGGTTATCCTCTGCAATTCAAGACCTCAGGAAATAAGAAAACAAGGCAGGACTATTGGGTTAAGAGTCTTGGGATATAAACCACTTGTATCTAATCTTCACTGCAGCCTGGATGGGGTGGGGGTCTGTTGTGCAAAGAATGAGAGTAAAAGAAGAGGAAACTCCATTCCAGCTGATTTTATGGCTTTGTAATGTTTGCTGAAACGGACTGAAAGTGGACTTTGGGATATTTTTATCTGAACTTCAATTATACCTCCCTCCACCAGGATCCCTCGCCCACTGCTCAACACTCGGATAATCAAAACTCAGGTAGTAAGTAAAATATTCGTGACCATAAAAAAAGTGTTTGCACATGTGCACACTGATGCCATCAGGAATGCATGCTGCCCTTAGGAAATTCTGTTAACATTCCACCGAACATGAGCACCAAAGGGCTTGGCTGGCCACAGAGTAATCGACGACGACGACGGATAGCCACATTAGAGAAATTCACCAGCAAGCCACAACAGGTTTTGGTTCCTTGCTTGTGTCTGTTCTTTAATGGGGGCTGAAGATTAAAAGGAAGACTACCCTACCAGTAAAGGATCAAGAGCCTGAAAGCTTCCTTTGCCTTTTTTGGTTTCATTGCTTAGGAGGGAAAACCCCAGCATAATGTACTTATCTGCCATTCTTCCCAGCTTCGATAAAACTTGACTATTTTACGTCTGTATTTGTACTTACCTATCTGTTAAGAAAGTACAATGATGCCTTTATTTCAGGGGTGCTTTGAAGCGTAACATTTTAGATTTTTTTATGAATCCTAGTAATGAGGAATTAAGAGAAGCCTCTCTCAACATAATTTAGAACTACAATATGCCAGCATACTCTCAGTAATTGATCTAGCTTCTAAGTTTCTGAATAGTTTATTTGTGGACAAGCTAATAGCATTTTATCAGCTATCACATGAATGCCTGGGACTTTTTCCACTCAGAACTCATGTATTTTATGCAGCATACATTTTACTAAAAGGAATAACAAAAACTCATCATGGAAATTTTTTCCCCAGTTAAATTTCACCTTGTTCATTTCCTTTTCCTGATTTTAACTGACAGGTAAACTTGCATTTATTCCACTAGATGGTAGTATACAAAGCACAGATGGAAAACAGGGAGTAATTGTATGCATTAAACCAATTTCTAGAAAAAACTCAATAAACCTCTAAGCAATATTCTTATTCTTAGCAAGCAGGTAAATTATAGACTAGAATTTTTCAATGCTGAGAGAAAATGCATTTATGCGTACTAACATTTTCTGAAATTTAATCAAAGTCAACTCATGTTTAACAAGTACTTCAAGTACTGGTGTTGATCACAGCCTAGTCATCTTCATCCTTAAATCATTGTTTATACCGACCGTCCTTTCACAAAAAATACTCTGTGGCTTTATTGAAAAGGATCATACACAGTTTCCACACTGAGAATAAAATTTAACTCTAGATGCGAGGAAGGGAGTTTGAGGAAGGGGTCTGTTTCAAGAACCATTATTTGTTCCTTTAATTCTCCCTTCTATCCTGCAAGGCAATGTAAATTCTGTGCTGCTGTTAAGCATACTTTATTACATAATATTAATCAAATGACTGAACAAAATTCTATGATGAAAAGGTCAGGCTTCTGATTAAACAAAAGCCACATAAATAAAGACATAAAATATGGGCCGGGCACAGTGGCTCACACCTGTAATCCTAGCACTAAACTGAGGAAGGAGGATCTTTTGAGGCCAGGGGTTCGAGACCAGCCTGAGCAATATAGCAAGACCCCATCCCTACAAAAAATCAGAAAAATTAGCCAGGCATGGTGGCATACACCTATAGTCCCAGCTACTCAGGAGGCTAAGGCAGGAGGATTGCGTGAGCCCAGGATTTCCAGGTTGCAGTGAGCTGTGATGACGCCACTGCACGCCAGAGCTCAACCATGTCTCAAAAAAAAACCAAAAAAAAACTTCTTACTTCATAGTCTATTCCTCACAAATAAATGACTAATACATATACAAGGGTATTAAACATGTATATTGCCCAGAAGGACAAGACACTTAGGTGTGATGGAAAATAAAGAGACATTCATAGTAAAAATTACCACTTCTTTATGGGTCAGCCGGAGATTACTTTATCTAAAGGCAGGATTTCAAAGGTTCTTTGAGCGATAGCAGGAAAGAGCTCAGTGAGCTGAGAAAAGAACTATTCGCCTATGTTTTGGCCTGGAAGGCAGAGAAGCACAGTGGCATATGTGGGCTCGAGCATAGTTCTGCCTACACAAGGAAAGTGAGAGACAGAAGAAATAAGATAATTGAGAATGACAGAAGAACATTTTTTCAAAAATCAGCATAATTGTTTTTTTTAATACAGAGAGAAGCCTGATTTTTTTTTTTTTTT